GTTACTGAACTGAGCTAGGACTATATAATTGTATTCATTACAATATAAGGAGATATGTATATATGTATATATATATAAGAATATATTTGTATTTACAATACGCTTATGCTATGTTTATATTTATTATATATCATAAAATATAGTTTGAGGACTTTTATATAAATATTAATGCATAAACCATATCCCTCCCAAATAATACCAAAAAACAATTCAGTCAATGACAAAATTAAAATTTGTGTATCTAAACATTAATAAAGGAGCTCTGGTAGCCTAGTGCCTAAAGCACTTGATTGCTAACCAGAAGGCTGGCAGCTCAAACCCACCAGCCACTCCTCGGAAGGAAGGTTGGGCAATCTACTTCCGTAGCGATACTGCCTCAGAAACCCAAGGAGGGGTTGCTATGAGTCGAGTCCAACTCAATGGCACATAAGAACAACAACAACAAACATTCATAATCTTTATAATAACTTAATGCAAGATACATTGCTTATATTCTTATTCAATTAATTTTTTTTTATTGTTAGTGAGCTCTACTCCAAAACTAAGACAGCATTACATACCTTCACAGTGTGCTTAAGTGTTAAGAGTACATCCAGCCTCTCATCTTGAGAAAGGTTTTTCAGAATAATGCATTTATAGATGTTTTGCAGCTCTCTGGCTCTGATGGTGAACTGAGTATCCATCTCAATTATTTTGCCAAAATTTGTCCTCCATGTCTTTGGAGCTGAGCACTTTAAAACAGTATCAGGTTTATAGTTACAAATATTTTTTGCTTATTCAATACAAATAATTTTGTTTATTCCAGTAAAAGCTTACCAAAATATCATGTTAATGAGTGGAAATATGTGCCTTTATGAATAAAAGTATCACAAACATTTAAAAAACTAGATAATATGTACACATGCAAAAGTAAAACCTTTAAGGGAAAAAAACATAATTCAATCTGCAGAAGCATAAAGACCAATTCAGGATCTTCTACTAATTTGTATTAACTGGTACACTGAATGACCTGATGGGTATGTAGACCAATTGTTTACCTCCATGGAAGAAAGTGTGCTATTTATAATGTTCTTAAAATTGTCTGCCTGGTTCAGTTATACTCAGA